AGCCGATCGAGCTGCGCCTGGGCAAACAGATCCCGGCGTTCGAGCATCTCGGGTGGGGTCGTCAAGGGGTCGTCGTCGGGAGGCCCGTCCGCGTCGTCGTCGCGGTCTGGACGGGCCCAGGGGTTCACCTTCAGCAGGCCGACAACCGCGGCCTCGAGGGACACGCGCTGAAATTCCAAGGTTGTTGGCTCGTGGACGGCAGAACGCCGCGCGGGCACTCTCCACGCTGTGTGCCCGCGCAGCGGGCATAGTATCTATTACCAGAAAAAATAACCACTTTTCACAACCTCGGAGTAGGCAGCGATACCGATGGGGACCAGGATGTGGATGGCCAGCCCTAGCACACTGGAGGCCCCTTAGGTGTTCCCGTAGGCGGCTGAGGACCCCCGATCGTATAGACGAAGTTCGTGCTACAAGACCCTGTCCAATATATAGACGTACGCTCCCAAACTGGTATAAGAAGCTCATATCTCCGTTGGTCATATCACCGGCCCTGAAGCATACACGCAACTGCATGTCAAGAAAGGTGAAGATCGCCAGCGACTGAACGAAATTTGCAACACCACGTCGTGAGAGGGCTGCCTCCGTTGAGGGTGTACAGGATCGTGTAATGTGCTGCCCCCTCCGCTGCAAACGTCTCCCCGACGTCCACAGCTGTCGTATCCGTAGGATACTCAGACATACTGTGACAACGTACAGCTGAGCCATGAAAGGCGTGCCCAACGCATAGGTTGGGTTGCTAAGAATGTTAACCATGTCCTGCTGGGGAGTCTTCAGAGCTTCTACCATGAGCGGAGACACTGTCGGGGTGAGGACGTGCCAAAGGGAGCCGACGCAAAACTGTGATGGATGAAGTGGCACGTTCAGGGTACTCGCACATCTCTGTCCCAACGGAAAATCTTCACACCAGCTTCCTAAAATTCGGATCCGTCGTCGTAAACGCTGATTGAAAACACGGCCAGGGGCATCATCAGCCCCGAGAGGGGTGTACGATTCCAGAAATAGTTTAAACGCCTGGTCGCTGTGCTTCCGAATGTTTGCCGATGAAGTCTGAAAACAAAGGCAAAGAGTCAATGCAATCAGAGAACGTCGATATGTACCGTAGCCAGGGCAACGGAAATCGTCCTGTTGATTATGGAGAGTTTTGTTTGCCGCACACCTCTGGGAGTAACAGGTAGGGTTCGGGATGAGGTGCACGAAACGTTGGTCGGCCATCCGTCGACAGCACAACCAATCGCACACAAACCTGACCAGACGTGCACAAAAGGGTAGCGAGTGAGCGGAGAATACAGGACGTGTCGCCATATCTGCAAAACCCACAGATTGTGACAGTGAAGTAAATAACCATGAACAGCACAAGACGTACGAGCAACATAAGCTTCACAGGCATGAACTGATACGTATATCGTGACTGCGGTACAACATCCCAAGCCGATGATTTCTCCACACCGTCACGAACACACCCTGAAATGCTATATGCTAGATCCGTGAACTTCAGCACGTGGCCCAAGACGTCCCCCGAGACACCGTTGATCCCCACGAGGATGTGGTGAGCGAAGCTCGTGAGTATCTGAACACACGTACTGACAAGCATAATCAAGCAAGCTTTTCCCCAGGAGAAGCTCTCATCTCACGGAAAGCAAACTGTTCAGACCCACGTGCGTGCGCTCGCTCGTGGCGGGCTGGAGCGCTAGCCTAAACCTGAACAGCTGCTGGCGGCGGTGTTGGGGTCGGCGCGGGCAAGGGTCGCACGGCACTGACTGCAGAGGTGAGCTGAACAAAAACATGCACGATGAACGCACTAAGAAAACACACGCACACACGCACACACACACACACACACGCACACACACGCACACGCACACGCACACGCACACGCACACGCACACGCACACGAACACACACACACACACAGAGACAGACACAGACACAGACACAGACACACACACACACACACACACACACACACACACACACACACACACACACACACACACACACACACACACTTCCTTCTCTCCGACAGGAATATTATTCTCTGACGCCCCCCCCCTCCGACAGCCCCCCCCGAAAAATACCCCCCCCCCCCCTTCCGACATATCCCTTTCCGCTTCTTCCGCTTTCTCTCCTACAAGCCCCCACCCCCCGCCTCCATGACAGACCCCCCCCCTCCTTCCGACATATTCGTTTCCGCTCTTCCGCATTCTCCCCCCCCCCCCGCTCTCACAGGCCCCCCCCTCCCGCAGACCCTCCCCTCCAGGACAGACCTCACCTCTCCGAGAAATCTCCTTCCTTTTTTCCGACAGAGCCTCTGTCCTCGCCGTTCAGGCCCGGGAGGGAGGAGGGGGCGAGGGGGCTGACGCCATTCAGGCCCAGGAAGGAAGAGGAGGAGGAGGAGGAGGAGGAGGAGGAGGAGGAGGAGGAGGAGGAGGATAGGAGGCCCCTGACGCCCTTCAGGCCCGGGAGGGAGGAGTGGGGGGACGCTTCGCTGTGTCTGTCGGGGGGGTGCGGGGGGGGGGCTGACGCCATTCAGGCCCGTGAGGGGGGAGGGGGAGGAGCTGACGCCATTGCGCCATTCAGGCCAGGGAGGCAGGAGGGGGCGGAGGGGGGCTGACGCCATTCAGGCCCGGGAGGGAGGAGGGGGCATGGGGAGCGGGGACGCCATGGGGAGGAGGGAGGAGGGGGAGGGGGGGGGGGGGGGGCTTGACGCCATTCAGGGCCCGGAAGGGAAAGAGGGGGGTGGGAGGCTGGCTCTGTGGGAAGGGTGGGGGGGGGGGCTGACGCCATTCAGGCCCGGGAAGGATGAGAGGGGTGGGGCTGACGCCATTCAGGTCAGGCCCGGGAGGGAGGAGGGGAGGGGGGGGCTTGCTCTGTCGGGGGGGGGGGGAGGCTGACGCCATTCAGGCCCGGGAGGGGAAAGGGGGTGGGGAAGGGCTGACGCCACTCAGGGGAAAGAGGGGGAGGGGGGGGGGGGGGGGCGGGGGGCGACCCCATTCAGGCCCGGGAAGGAAGAGGTGGGGGAGGGCGCCCATAGGAGGAGGAGGAAGGAGGGGGGGGCCAACGGCAATGAAATTCAGGCCCGGGAGGGAGGCAGGGGGGGGCTTTCTCTGTCGAGGGGGGGGGGGGGAGGGGGGGCTGACGCCATTCAGGCCTGGGAGGGAGGAGGGGGGGGGGAGGGCTGACGCCATTCAGGCCCGGATGGAGGAGGGGGGGGGGGGCTTCGCTCTGTCGGGGGGGGTGGGGGGGGCGCGGGGCGCTGTCGCCATTCAGGCCCGGGAAGGGAAGGAGGAGGGGGGGACACCAATCAGGCCCGGGAGGAAGGGGGGGGGGAAGGGGGGAACGCCATGGGCAGGAGGGGGGGGGAAGGGGAGCGCCATGGCTGACGCCATTCAGGCCCGGGAGGAGGAAGTCGAGGGGAGGGGGGGGGCTGACGCCATGGCTGACGCCATTCAGGCCCGGGAGGGGGATCCGGGTGGGGGAAGGAGCCCTGACGCCATGGCTCACGCCATCATTAAGGGCCGGGAGGGGAAAGTCGTCGGGGGGGGGCGGGGGCTGACGCCATGGCTGACGCCATTCGGGACCAGAAGGCGGGAGGGGACACCCCATGAGTTTAGCTGTTCACGCGAGGTCGTCACTTTCGAATATCCGAGGGTTGCCCAGGCGAGTTCAACATCACTATCTTATGAGGATGTCTCGAGCGAGCGCTCTTCTTTTAAACATAAAAGGTCCTCCGTTGCAAGCAGAGTCGGTAGCACCCCGGATCGGCAGCACTGGCCGGAGGCCACTACTATATATATATATATATATATATATAGATATGTGTGTATACGTGTATATATATATATGTTTATATATATACCGATGTCTGCTTATTTTTGTGTATGTATATATATATATATATATATGTATTCACACGTATACACACGCATAGAAAGAAAGTTATTCCTATGCTGATACGGCATGAACGAAGGAGGAAGGACGGTGAGACGAACGAGCGGAGACGGGGGAGGAGGCCGGATGGAGAAGGGTAGAGGGAGGGGGAGGACGAGGAGGAGGAGGACGACGACGCTGCGCCTAGTGAGCCCCCTGGACGGCAGCCCACAGGCGGATGGGAACACGAGCGCGGCAGGATGGCCAAGGGGGTGGCAAGGATATAACATTCGGGAATGGAATGGAATCAGTACACTGGCGCAGGGGCAGGGTGACAATACCGCAGCCTGCACCAAGGCGGGGCGCGCTCGGTCCAATTACCACCGGGCGTTGCAGATCTTGGGTCAGGATGGAAGCTGACGCATGCAGAGCCACGCCCGACCGCGGAGGCCCTGGAAGGACATGCCGGCAGCCACGCAGTTGCCAAAGCGGGCGGCACCACAAGACATACACGGATGCACGTTCCCCAACCAGCGCTTGCACTGAAGGGGTTCTAGCGAAAATTGAATGCTTTGGCGAAAATGGTCCGCCGATTTTGGTGGCCGGCTGGCTTCCCGTGTTCCCGGTTCCGGGTTCCTGGGTTCCTGGTCATTGGTTCCGGCCCGATTTTCGACGGGTTCCGGGTTCCCAGGTTCCCGGTCGATCTTTGGGGTTTTTCTCTAGTGTAATTACATAACCAGACTTGACGCAAACCTCTCCCGCAACTGATCCCTGGAATCTCCCTTCCGGGGTCCGTCTTGGTCGACTCCCCTCGGCCCAGATTATGGACTCTGACGCTTCGCTGGAGCCAGGCCTGGGCCACCCCCCCTCGAAGCCGAAGTCTGTGGAAAAGCCTTCCGGATCGAAGCGCAATAATGACAGGCGTCCGACGTCGTGTCGTTTGCTGGCAACAGGGACTTCCGGAGGTCTGGACCCCTTCGCGGGACACGATTTTCTTCCTGAGTTGTGGGGCCCTGGAAAGGCGAAACTCACCAAACACCTTGCGTCATTGTTTTTGTTTACGACGCGAAGATGTCAATCCTCGATCCTTCTCCCGAGATGCGGCGTCGGCGGCAGCGACGACGGGCGTCCTTGGCCTGGTCGAGGATCTGCAAGGCGAACGCGGAGGACGACAGGGACAAGGCCGTTGCCAATATGCACGCCTGCACCGGGCTACAGCCGAGAAGGCTCCTGTCGGGGAGGACGAGGGGGGAGGATGAGGAAGGATGGTGCATTCAGGAGAGGATGAGGACACGACAAGACAAGAGCGCGTGCGACCCGTGGTCTGCTGATCACCCTTGCGGCAAAAACTGCAGCTTGCGATACAACGTGACACCGAATTGGATCTGTGTGCAGAAAGTGAAGGGGAATGTCAACTATCACATTCCAGGGGGGACATCGACCTGGAATCGGCGATACATCGTAGATAGGCCCTCGACAGCGAGACGGCAGGTTCCTGTGCAGGGTGGGCTATCGGGCCCGTATCGGCGATCAATGCGCGATTTGGGGCCGATGCTCTCCACCATAAGCCCTCCGCCCCTAACGTTGCCCTTCAAGAGGGGGGGGAGGGAGGACGAGGAGGGAGAATGGGGAAGGCGTAGGAAGAGGAGGAACAATAATCCGCCGGCCCCCTTGTGGGGCCACCAGGCTGTAGGGCGAAGGTTCGCAGTTTCCTGTGCCAGTTGCAGCTTCCAGTTTCCACTGTTACAGTTCTGCTTCTTGCTGCTTACTGTTCCTTGTTGATAGACCGCGCGAGGAGGGATGCCCAAAACGGACCTTTTTACCACACCCTGAGCGTGTGCTCTGAATTGCTGGGGTGGGTAAAAATTGACACCGCTCACGCAGATCGGCGGGGTCAGGGTCCCAAAACAAATGTGAGTTGCCACATTTCTGAAATTCCTGACGCAGATCGGCGGGGTCAGGGTCCAAAAACATATGGGATTTGCCACATTTCTGAAATTTGCTGGCACCCCTCAAGCAGATCGGCAGGGTCAGACTCAAAACAAACACATGGGATTTGCCACATTCTGAAATTTGCTGGCACCCCTCACGCAGATCGCCAGGTTCAGGCTGCAAACACACACACAGAGGATTTGCCACATTTCTGAAATTCGCTTGCACCCCTCACGCACATCGGCAGGGTCAGGGTCCAAAAACAAAGGGATTTGCCACATTTCTGAAATTCGGCGGCACCCCTCATGCAGATCCGTACGGTCAGGGTCTAAAAAAAAACACATGGGATTTGCCACATATTTAAAATTCGGCGGCACCCCTCACGCACATCGACAGGGTCAGGGTCCAAAAACAAAGGGGATTTGCCACATTTCTGAAATTCGGCGGCACCCCTCATGCAGATCCGTACGGTCAGGGTCTAAAAACACACAGGATTTGCTACATTTCTGAAATTCGGTGGCAGGGTCGAAAAACAAGCAGGTCCCGACACTGCTTCACGGCGGCGCCCAGACCTCATGATCTAGCTTTTGCATCTCCCATTTTATCCGGCACAAGGGGCCGGCGGCATGGGGCGAAGTCACCTTACGGATAAGACAAGTCAGGAACACTGCGCATGGCAATGCACCCTTACACCAAAGTAGATGTGTGTCTAAGAGGGGGATGAGAACGTGTCGTTGGTGGAGGCCACTCAAATGGGTCCGAGTAGGTTGGGTCGGAGGATCGAGCCGCATCGCCCATACAATCCCGATGCGTCGCCGATGCATCGGCGACATCGGCGTTGCAGCTGCAACGCCAGCGTGAAGAGAATCGGTCCCCACATCGAGCCGCATCGCCGATGCATCGGCGATGCGGCGCGATCCTTCCTCCCCATCGAACCTAACCGCAAAAGGTCTTCAGCCAACAAACAACAGTACAATACTGGGAAACTCCGCTACCATGCCTCTGGGCACGAAGTGGGCGTGTCCTCAGGTCCTCTGCCTGGCCTCAACCCAGGAGCCTCAGCCCTCACTCCTGAGGAGGCTCTGCCGGGACCGGACCCAACATTCTCACATTTGGCGGGGCTCCCCGCGTTTCCCCTAGGCTCCATGCAGCGCGTGGTGGCTTGCGAACTTGTTTGGCACAAGAGGATGGACCGAGACGGGCCAAGAGGGCTCTACGAGACCCCCAAAGACGGCCCACGAGCAACCCGAGTCACCGAAAGATCGTCCAAGACGCGCAATGGCCTCCAGAAGGCCCAAGAGGCCTCCAACATGCCCCAAGCAAGAGGCCTCGAAGAGACATGCCAATTGGGCCCCAAGAGACCAAACTCATGTTCTGAAATGTTTGAAGGATTGTTGCATTCGGGCCTTTTCGGCTTTCCGACGCTCCAAGACGGCTAAAAATGCCCCCAAGACCATCCGAACACGGCCAAAGAGGCACCCAAGAGGGCCCCAAGATGGCTTCATAGCGCCTCAAGACGGCCCGAGAGGGGCCCAAGACGGCCTAAGGGCCCCAGGACGGCCTCAAAGGGTCTCAAGAGAGGGAACCCGAATCGAAAATCCGAGCCTTCCGCTCCAGGATGCCCCCAGGAGGCCTCAAGAGGCGCTAAAGAGGCCCCAAGAGGCCTCAAGCGGCCCCCAAGAAGCCCCCAAGAGGCCCCTGGAGGCTTCAAAACAGCATCTGAGAGGCCTCCAAACTGGCGGCTCCAAGCGGCACCCGAGAGGCCTCACAGATACCAACGAGCATCCAATAGGCTTCCCACAACCCAGGCAAGGTGGCGGGATGGACCGAAGGAGGCCATTCGATCCGCCGCCCCCTGTTGGCTTGCCACAATGGTGGCGGGCGTGCTGGACACTAGACGGTTCGGTTCTAGGGGCTTCGGCCCGTCCCGCAGGCCAACCGAAAGGCGCGGAATTCTCCGCAACAAATGTCCCAAGACGGTTCAAGATGGGTTTCAAGACCGTCAAGATGGCCCAAGATGGTCTCCAAGAAGCCTCCAAGATGGCCTCCAAGACAGCCCAAGAGGGTTCAAGATACCTCCAAGTCCGCCCACGAAGCCTCCAAAACGGTCCAGGAGGGCCCAAGAAGCGCCCAAGAGGCCTCCAAGACGGCCCAAGAGGCCTCCAAGAGGACATCCAGGAAGGGTCGAAGCCAAATCGATGATTCTCTTAAATGTTTGAAGAATTGTGGCATTTGCGTCTTTTCGGCATACCGTCAGCCCGAGACGGCCCACGAGCCCCTAAAGATCGCCACAAGATTGCCGATGGGGCCTCCAAGATGGCCCAAGAACGGCCCAAGAGGCTCCCAAGACTGCACCAGGAGGGCCCCAAGACTGCTAAAGACGCCCCCAAGACGCCTAAGATGGCCTCCAAGACGGCCCTGGAGCACCCCAAGAGGGCCCCCAGTCGGCCCAGATAGGCTTCCAGGACAGCTTCCAAGAACGTCAGACGGGCCAGGAGCTCACCAAGACGGGCCAAGATGGATCTCAGATGGCCCAAGACGGCCCAAGAGGCCCACAAGAAGCCTCCAAGACGGCCCAAGAGGCCTCCAAGAGGACCTCCAGGAAGGCCCGAAGAGGCCAACATCGCTGATTGTCCTGGGGTGTCTTGCAAGGTGTTGGCAATTGCTTCGTGTAGGCCGTCCGACGGCCCGAGACGGCCCAACAGACCAGGCAGATCGCCCAAGAGGCCTTCAGGATGGCCCCAGAACTGCCGAAGAGGCCCCCAAGACTACCCAGGAGGGCCCCCAGAGAGCCCAAGAGGCCTCCAAGACGCCCAAGATGGCCTCCAAGACGGCCCTGGAGCACCCCAAGAGGGCCCCCAGTCGGTCTAGAGAGGCCCCAGGGACAGCTTCCAAGAGCGTCAGACGGGCCAGGAGCCCACCAAGACGGCCCAAGATGGCTCTCAGATGCCCCAAGGTGGCCCAAGAGGCCCACAAGAGGTCTCAAAGACGGCCCAGGAGGCCTCCAAGATGACTTCACAGAAGAAGGCCCGACGAGGCCAACATAATTGAGTTTCCCAAGGTGTGTGAAGGAAGTTGGCATTTGCTTCTTTTCGGCTATCCGACAAAGAGCCCAGAACGATCTCCCAAGAGGCCTCCAGGATGGTGGCCCCAGATTGACCCAAGCGGCCCCCAAGACAGCCTCAAGAGGGCCCCAAGACGGCCAACGACGCCTCCAAGACGCCCAAGATGGCCTCCAAGACTGCCCTGGAGCACCCCAAGAGGGTTTCAAATCGGCCCAGGGATGCCCCCAGGACAGCTTCCGACGGCGTCAAACGGGCCAGGAATACCCTGAGACAGCCAAATATGCCCCCGAGAAGTTCCCAAAGGCAGCCAAGAGGCCCCAGGAGGCCCCCAAAATGTTCCCCAAGAGGCGCCCAGGAAGCTCCCAGGAAGCCCCCTAAAAGTGCCCCCAGAGACTCCCAAGATGCCCCCTTCTCCTCCTCCTCCTCCTCCTCCTCCTCCTCCTCCTCCTCCTCCTCCTCCGCCTCCGCCTCCGCCTCCGCCTCCTCCTGCTCCTCCTCCTCCTCCTCCTGCTCCTCCTTCTCCTCCTCCTCCCCCTCATCCTCCCTGCCATCCCCCCCAAACGTTCCCCGAAAGGTTTCCACAAAGGTTGGGGGAACGCATGGTCCGATAGCTTCGCAGAGCTCTTGCCACCCCGCTCGGCGACATGGGCGATTTCAAAATGCAGTGGGCGGTGGTGATTCGCCGTGGGCGTCTTCGATAATGATCTCCGTCGCCCTCCTCCTCCTCCTCCTCCTCCTCCTCCTCCTCCTTCTCCTCCTCCTCCTCCCCCTCCCCGTCCCACCCCCACCCCCTCCAACTCCTCCCCTCCCTCACCCCCTCCTCCTCCCCCTCCTGCTCCTCCTCCTGCTCTCCTCCCTCCTCTCTCCTCCTCTCCTCCTTCTCCTCCTTCTCCTCCTCCTGCTCCTCCTCCTCCTCCACCTCTCCTCCTCCTGCTCCTCCTCCTCCCCCTCCTCCTCCTCCTCCCTCTCCTCCTCCTCCTCCTCCTCCTGCTCCTCCTCCTCCCCCTCCTCCTCATCCTCCTCCTCCTCCTCCTCCTCCTCCTCCTCCTCCTCCTCCTCCTCCCCCTCCTCCTCATCCTCCTCCTCCTCCTCCTCCTCCCCATTCACCTCTTTCTCTTTGTACGCACAGGCTGAACAGGAGACGCCCATTGCGTGGGAGGACGAGGGGGAGAACAAGGGGAATGACGAGGAGGGGAAGGACGAGTTTCATTGCCAGCCGAGAGCTTTGTTTTTTTGGGGTCAGCGGCAGCATCAAAAACCCTCTGAGGTTACTCGGACCCCGATTGGGAGGAGGCGGCCTGGAGTTGGACGCGTGCACCTTTCACTGAATCCGTGGACCAGGGGCCGGTCCGCCGCATCGGCACTCCGAACAGGCTGGCGACCGAACAATGGGGAGGGGAGCCATTCGCATGGGGGGGGGACGAGGAAATGGAGGGTGAAGAGTGGCAGCCGCAATCGCTGAGGAAGCCAAGAGATACGTCCAGAGTCCCCGGTCCGGAGCTCCGCGCGGATTTCCGGAATCAGCCCCAGGTCCCCCTGGCGGCGCCTCTGGCGCCGCCCCTGGGGCGCTCGGCGCGCCAGAGGGGGGGGGGCAGCGCCAATCCCGGAAATTTGTTTGAACCTCAGAGAAATTACGTTCGTGGCGTCTTGTTCCTCGAGGACGCGCCAAACGCTCGCGCAACGCTGAGAGGTCCTCGAGATCAGGAAGATCACCAGCGACGTCATGCCAAACTGTGCCAGCCCGAGGCCGAAGACGTCCTTCTGCATGTTGCGGAGGGTGTCGAAGCTCAGCTCCAGGCCCATCTCGCACAGGAAGAATATGATGCCGGCCTGGGCACCGCGCAGGTGCTGCCCACACCTTCCTCATTCCCCCGCCCCTCCTACTTCTCGTCCATCCTCCTCTGGTCCTCCAACTGGTCCTCCTCCTCCTCCTCCTCCTCCTCCTCCTCTTCCTCCTCCTCCTCCTCCTCCTCCATCCTCCTCCCCCTCCTCCCCCTCCTCCCCCTCCTCCTCCTCCTCTTCCTCCTCCTCCTCCTGATCCTCCTCCTACTCCTCCTTCTCGTCCTCCTCCTCTTC